GTGGTCGACGTATTTATTTGAATGAAATAGCAGCGAGTTTCCCCTGAAGCTTGTTGAAGGAGATTGTCGCGCAGGGCGGTTCATCGAATACCCCAACACAAAGCCACCGGCATCGCGGCTACAGACTGGCAGCAACACTGCGCTCAGCGGTGCCAGACAGTGCCATTGAACGTGGTCTTAGAAAACTTGAAGACAGAATATAATTATTAAGGGGAACAAGTCACTTTGACCTACTGAACAATCTTTTTTGAGCATCTCTCACAACTTTTTCATTTACTTGAAATAGAATTAATATAAAACAAAACAAGACAACAAAAAGCAAACAAACAAAATACAAAACAAAACAATACCAACAAGGGGAGAATAATCACCATAGACCAAGGACTACTATACTCATAGACCTATAAATGCCACCCGCCCCCATAAAACTATAAACAGATAAATATCAATAAAAAAATTAATAAAACACTTAAATATACCCACACCTCAAGAGCCCCCTACTTTTTGCGATAGAGTTGAATATTGACCAAGTCGTCGTCTTATGATTTTATATTTTTTATCAAACGCAACCTCTGTTAAACAGTTTGTCAATGAACATTACAAACACTATTGTCGTTTCCATTAAAAAAACCCAAATAACCTCAACAACAAAGACAACAACAACAACAACAAGTACAACAACAACAACAACTACAACAACAATAACAAACGAAAAAAAGAAATTATCGTTACCGCTGAATGCATTCTATGTTTTCAGCACAAAGACGCTTGCAGATTAACAGTTCATAAAAAATTATAATAACCGCCTCCGAAATTATGAACACATTTTCTGTGAAACTCTTTGTTTTCATAAAGCATAGTTGGCCTACACAACAGTTTACCACTCACACGGGATATCGGCCAGTTTACAAACACACTTTACACACACTCTATACAAACAACCTTTATAAAATAACTTTACACACGCTCTTTACACACACGTGCGCCTGAGCAAGATTGACCAACGGTTTACAACATCATGTGATTCCAGTTTGAAACTTGTGAACCAGAGTTCCGGAAAGGCTTTCAGAGAGAAGGAGAGAGAGAGAGAGAGAGAGAGAGAGAGAGAGAG